TTCGCGAGGAGATATGACGTTCCAAAACGACAGAACTTCTCGAGGAGATATGACGTTCCAAAACGACATAGCTCCGCGTGGAGATATGACATTCCAAAACGACATAACTCCACGCGGAGATATGACGTTCCAAAACGACATAACTCCGCGCGGAGATATGACGTTCCGAAACGACAGAACTTGTCGAGGAGATATGACGTTCCAAAACGACATAACTCCACGCGGAAATATGACGTTCCAAAACGACGTAGCTCCACGCGGATATATGACGTTCCAAAACGACGTAGCTCCGCGCGGAGATATGACGTTCAAAAACGACATAGCTCTGCGCGGAGATATGCGTTCCAAAACAACAGAATTTCTCGAGGAGATATGACGTTTCAAAACGACCTAACTCCGCGCGGAGATATGACGTTCCAAAACGACAGAACTTCTCGAGGAGATATGACGTTCCAAAACAACATAACTCCACGCGGAAATATAACGTTCCAAAACGTCAGAACTTCGCGAGGAGATATGACGTTCCAAAACGACAGAACTTCTCGAGGAGATATGACGTTCCAAAACGACATAGCTCCGCGTGGAGATATGACGTTCCAAAACGACGTAGCTCCGCGCGGAGATATGACGTTCAAAAACGACATAGCTCCGCGCGGAGATATGCGTTCCAAAACAACAGAGCTTCTCGAGGAGATATGACGTTTCAAAACGACTTAACTCCGCGCGGAGATATGACGTTCCAAAACGACAGAACTTAGCGAGGAGATATGACGTTCCAAAACGGCAGAACTTCTCGAGCAGAAATGACGTTCCAAAACGACATAACTCCACGCGGAAATATGACGTTCCAAAACGTCAGAACTTCGCGAGGAGATATGACGTTCCAAAACGACAGAACTTCTCGAGGAGATATGACGTTCCAAAACGACATAGCTCCGCGTGGAGATATGACGTTCCAAAACGACATAACTCCACGCGGAGATATGACGTTCCAAAACGACATAACTCCGCGCGAAGATATGACGTTCCAAAACAACAGAACTTCTCGAGGAGATATGACGTTCCAAAACGATATAACTCCGCGCGGAGATATGACGTTCCGAAACGACAGAACTTCTCGAGGAGATATGACGTTCCAAAACGACATAACTCCACGCGGAAATATGACGTTCCAAAACGACAGAACTTAGCGAGGAGATATGACGTTCCAAAACGGCAGAACTTCTCGAGCAGAAATGACGTTCCAAAACGACATAACTCCGCGCGGAGATATGACGTCCCAAAACGGCATAACTCCGCGCGGAGATATGACGTTCCAAAACGACAGAACTTCTCGAGGAGATATGACGTTCCAAAACAACATAACTCCGCGCGGAAATATGACGTTCCAAAACGACATAACTCCGCGCGGAGATATGACGTTCCGAAATGACAGAACTTCTCGAGGAGATATGACGTTCCAAAACGACATAACTCCACGCGGAGATATGACGTTCCGAAACGACAGAACTTCTCGAGGAGATATGACGTTCCAAAACGACAGAACTTCTCGAGCAGAAATGACGTTCCAAAACGACATAACTCCGCGCGGAGATATGACGTCCCAAAACGGCATAACTCCGCGCGGAGATATGACGTTCCAAAACGACAGAACTTCTCGAGGAGATATGACGTTCCAAAACGACAGAACTTCGCGAGGAGATATGACGTTCCAAAACGACAGAACTTCTCGAGGAGATATGACGTTCCAAAACGACATAGCTCCGCGTGGAGATATGACATTCCAAAACGACATAACTCCACGCGGAGATATGACGTTCCAAAACGACATAGCTCCGTGCGGAGATATGACGTTCCAAAACGACATAACTCCACGCGGAGATATGACGTTCCAAAACGACATAACCCCGCGTGGAGATATGACGATCCAAAACGACATAACTCCGCGAGGAAATATGACGTTCCAAAACAACAGAACTTCTCGAGGAGATATGACGTTTCAAAACGAAATAACTCCGCGCGGAGATATGACGTTCCAAAACGACATAACTCCGCGTGGAGATATGACGTTTCAAAGCGACATAACTCCGCGAGGAAATATGACGTTCCAAAACGACAGAACTTCGCGAGGAGATATGCCGTTCCAAAACGACAGAACTTCTCGAGGAGATATGACGTTCCAAAACGACATAGCTCCGCGTGGAGATAAGACGTTCCAAAACGACATAACTCCACGCGGAGATATGACGTTCCAAAACGACATAACTCCGCGCGGAGATATGACGTTCCAAAACGACATAACTCCGCGCGGAGATATGACGTTCCAAAACGACATAACTCCGCGCGGAGATATGACGTTCCAAAACGACATAGCTCCACGCGGAGATTTGACGTTCCAAAACGACATAACCCCGCTTGGAGATATGACGTTCCAAAACGACATAACTCCACGCAGAGATATGACGTTCCAAAACGACATAGCTCCGCGCGGAGATATGACGTTCCAAAACGACATAGCTCCGCGCGGAGATATGACGTTCCAAAACGACATAACTCCGCGCGGAAATTATGATCCCATTACATTAGCGCTATCGTTGGCTCACGATATTTAAATAAAAATTCAGCTGAAGTACCAGGCGAACAGAAATGAGCAGCAAGCAGACAAAAAATCAAAAAATTAAATGTTAACAGTCGACCCAACAGCTGCAGCTGTTATTTAACAGCGCACTGTAAAATAGCAGTGAACTAACATTCTTGCCCCTTAAGCGTATGCAATAGAATTTTTACTAAAAAAATTTTTCTGATCGTCTGGCTTCTGCTGATTTTTGTTCGCCTGGTATTTTAGTCAAATTTTAATTTAAGTCTGGCGCCCCCTGAACATGATCTGAGCAGCCACTTAACAGTCGCCTTTAAATACGACCTAACAGCTGCTTATTAACAGCCGCATGTTAAGAAGCTTAACATTTTCACTCAAAAGTTTTTTTTAGCAAAATCAACATCGCCTGCGAATGAAACAGTCAATGGTTCCCAGATGAACCTTTCATGCTTGTTCAATCACACAAAAGGTATAGATTGGGTGAGCTTTAATTTCTGAAGAACAACTCAACATCAACTCCGGTCCACGCAACCACTGGCCTCCACTGCCTCCAGCTGCTGCTGCACCGATATGAAACCTTTCTTTTGGTCGTGCTCAGCATGAATCGAAAGAGGTATTTTATTTAAAAATCAGGCTTGAATTACTGGAAAGAACTTATTAATTTATATATATTTTTTATCTTTACAGATTGGTTAATTTAGGAATCTTCAATCAATCCTATTATTTTCGGACAAACCCCAAAAGGCACATTTATCCGGCATCGACCTTCATTTGCCCGAGAAATATGCATTTAATAATGCATATACCAAATATTTAAGTCACACATAAAACCAAATAAGCAACAATTATTAGAAGTTTTACTATTTTTGTATAGTTGAAAGATTTGTCAAAATTTATAGTTACTAATTTTATATTTATGTAAATAAATTATATAAATATGTAATCAAATTAATTCTTTTTTATTTCAAGGGGCACGTTTATTTGTTGGCATTTAATATTCAAAAATCAACGGTCAAAAAATTTCATTCATTGGGCCGCTGGCTCGGGATATTTTCCTTAAAATCCAGCTGAAATACCAGGCGCACAGAAATTAGCAGTAGGCAGACAAATGAAAAACTTTTGAGTGAAAATGTTAAGCTTCTTAACATGCGGCTGTTAATAAGCAGCTGTTAGGTCGTATTTAAAGGCGACTGTTAAGTGGCTGCTCAGATCATGTTCATAGGGGGCGCCAGACTTAAATTAAAATTTGACTAAAATACCAGGCGAACAAAAATCAGCAGAAGCCAGACGATCAGAAAAATTTTTTTAGTAAAAATTCTATTGCATACGCTTAAGGGGCAAGAATGTTAGTTCACTGCTATTTTACAGTGCGCTGTTAAATAACAGCTGCAGCTGTTGGGTCGACTGTTAACATTTAATTTTTTGATTTTTTGTCTGCTTGCTGCTCATTTCTGTTCGCCTGGTACTTCAGCTGAATTTTTATTTAAATATCGTGAGCCAACGATAGCGCTAATGAAATGGGATCATAATTTCCGCGCGGAGTTATGTCGTTTTGGAACGTCATATCTCCGCGCGGAGTTATGTCGTTTTGGAACGTCATATCTCCGCGCGGAGCTATGTCGTTTTGGAACGTCATATCTCCGCGCGGAGCTATGTCGTTTTGGAACGTCATATCTCCGCGCGGAGCTATGTCGTTTTGGAACGTCATATCTCCGCGCGGAGTTATGTCGTTTTGGAACGTCATATCTCCGCGCGGGGTTATGTCGTTTTGGAACGTCATATCTCCGCGCGGAGTTATGTCGTTTTGGAACGTCATATCTCCTCGAGAAGTTCTGTCATTTTGGAACGTCATATCTCCGCGCGGAGCTATGTCGTTTTGGAACGTCATATCTCTGCGTGGAGTTATGTCGTTTTGGAACGTCATATCTCCGCGCGGAGTTATGTCGTTTTGGAACGTCATATCTCCGCGTGGAGTTATGTCGTTTTGGAACGTCATATCTCCGCGCGGAGTTATGTCGTTTTGGAACGTCATATCTCCGCGTGGAGTTATGTCGTTTTGGAACGTCTTATCTCCACGCGGAGCTATGTCGTTTTGGAACGTCATATCTCCTCGAGAAGTTCTGTCGTTTTGGAACGTCATATCTCCGCGCGGAGCTAAGTCGTTTTGGAACGTCATATCTCTGCGTGGAGTTATGTCGTTTTGGAACGTCATATCTCCAAGCGGAGTTATGTCGTTTTGGAACGTCATATCTCCGCGTGGAGTTATGTCGTTTTGGAACGTCATATCTCCGCGTGGAGTTATGTCGTTTTGGAACGTCTTATCTCCACGCGGAGCTATGTCGTTTTGGAACGTCTTGCCCCTTGAAATAAAAAAGAAGTAATTTGATTACATATTTATATAATTTATTTACATAAATATAAAATTAGTAACTATAAATTTTGACAAATCTTTCAACTATACAAAAATAATAAAACTTATAATAATTGTTGCTTATTTGGTCTTATGTGTGACTTAAATATTTGGTATATGCATTATTAAATGCATATTTCTCGGGCAAATGAAGGTCGATGCCGGATAAATGTGCCTTTTGGGGTTTGTCCGAAAATAATAGGATTGATTGAAGATTCCTAAATTAACCAATCTGTAAAGATAAAAAATATATATAAATTAATAAGTTCTTTCCAGTAATTCAAGCCTGATTTTTAAATAAAATACCTCTTTCGATTCATGCTGAGCACGACCAAAAGAAAGGTTTCATATCGGTGCAGCAGCAGCTGGAGGCAGTGGAGGCCAGTGCTTGCGTGGACCGGAGTTGATGTTGAGTTATTCTTCAGAAATTAAAGCTCACCCAATCAATCTATACCTTTTGTGTGATTGAACAAGCATGAAAGGTTCATCTGGGAATTATTGACTGTTTCATTCGCAGGCGATGTTGATTTTGCTAGAAAATAGAAAACATTTTAGTATAAAATAGGATTTCGTACTAAAATCACACTTATCGCAAATATAATTTGATTTTTTTCCCAATATTAGATAAATTGTTTCACATAATATGTCTTCTGGTAAGTTTAGTCTGCATTTAAAGAATAGGAGGGGGTTAGTTGAAGCAACACTATGCGATATGTTAACTAAAGTGACCTGAAGTCTTGCTCACTCACTGCAAAGTTTTGGTGTTTCTGTAAGTTCTATATGTATCGTGGTAATCAGATTAACAATTGCTGGTAATGGCGTCAAAAGTGGAGCCAGCCCAAGGAGATCTGTGCTCCAAAGTGATTTATCTGGCTGCATAGCTGCGCACAGATGGCGGGAAGCATCTCGTGCCCCGAAGACACAGGCTGTCGCCTAACGGCATTGGGAGGCTGAAGAAGAAAACAGTCATAACTAACAATTAGTGGAACAAAGATGCCAATCTTGGCCACTAAACAGAGCTGGCGGCAGCTTTGGGGGCAACCTCTTATCCTTAACGGGTTTGGGCATTCATAATTCCTCATTTGGGCTCTTGCATGAAAATGAGCTCGCTCGAATGGACAGATTCTTATCCTGTTGCCATATTATATGTTTGCCTGACACGCCACCAAAGGAATCGGCCATTTGCGTCTTGTTATTCTAGCCAAAGCTTAGCTGTCCCTCCCTTCTTCGCTGCCCTGCCCTCACCCACACCCTCTCAGCTTATGGGCACTTCGATGCGTACAGCCTTTTGTCCTCGTCCTGTTTTCGGCCACTTTGATTATGTTTTCGCTTTGCTTTTCGGCTGCTTTGTTAATTGGCGCAACTTGTTAGCCGTGTCCCATTCGCTTGGGCAGAGGCGCAGCTACAGGGCGTGGCATGTGGCAGAAGGCGTGCGCCGTTCTGGCCCGTTGCACGCACGTGTGGTAAGAAAAAAAATTGTAATTCAGGCTTGTTTATGTCTATGGTAGAGCGAATTGTTTCCGGCTTTATTCTAGATTTGCTTGTTGATGATTTAAATTGTTTTTCTTTTTTTGTTTGGTCGTGTTATTTTAGTTTATTTTTATTATTGTTATTTCGCGGGATTTTGGTTGTCCTCAATATTTATGACAGCTGATATGCCTGATATATGTTTGTGGATAGGCTGATTTGTGGCTTTAGTGCATAAATTAGTTTTATTGACTCGTAAATTTACTTCGATTTGATTAAGAAATGCCCCTTAATGACTTCATTTGCGAATAAAACACGTAGTTGCCATAAAATTAATTGACTACGTGAAAATTAATTTGACTGGCCTGAGTTTGAGTGTTTTTGCTCAAGTACTTGATTATTAAAAAATCAAAGTTAACAAATTGAAAATATATGTAAAGTTTGTAGTTTCCAAGAATATGTAAATATTCGGACTACCCAATGAATAACTTAAAAGGTGCCCAGTAAAAGCTTATGAAGCAGCTCATGACTAGTAAACAATAAAGTAAGTATTAAAATTTGTAAATAATATTTAAAGTTTAGTTTGTATAGCCTTGTACTGGGTATTATAAAGCTATCATGTGTAACGCATAGAAGGCGACATCTCAATAGCCGAACTAGTCTCCCAGATTTATAGCTTTCGCCTTGAAACTTGGCATGGGCTTGTGTTTCTGTATATATATTTAGTCATAGGCTATTCACTTATCTTAATGAGGAATAAATTTGAGCCGGGTTCCGGAAATACTGTACCTCTAAGACAACTCATTTATTGAGGACTTCTGTGAAACACACAATTTTCTCTATAAATTGCATACTGATTTTAGGGCAATTGGCAAAGCCATAATTTAATTCTATAATATCTTTGTAAGCCACACACAAACAAATACAATATTTATTTTGAACAGAAGCGTATACGAAATAATGGAATAGAATTTCACACAATCTATGTTCTAGCATTAATGGAATTTTAAATCTATGCCAAAACTAAGGACGAGACTTTGAAGTTGATTTTTATTGCTCGTTTTTTGCGCTTACATCAAATGTTACAGAAATTAAATTTCTTTAAAATATTCAAAACTCTTTTGGTATTCTATGTTTCCAGTTACCTTTCAGGGAATCGAATATTATCCATTTTATATTCGTTTTATTGGCTATTCAAATTGGATATCAATTTGGGTAGCCGTAGCGTAAAATTCAATGGAAAAAGGGTCAACGATAAATTTCATTTGGCCCGCAAGTGTTCAAGTGATGGAAAGGATTGCGTCTGAAAAACTCAGCAGTTTAATATGTTCAAATAGATTTTTGTAAAACTCGTGAACGGGCCAATTCATAATGTGCCGTAGTGAACTTTGCCATGCTGGGCATTCAGATAGGGCTTTCGAATTCCAACAGAGAGGACGAAGGTGCCCATTCACATCCTTTCTAAGCAATTATGAAAGTAAATTCATCACATCAAGCGGCCATTTGTTTGGCAGCCAAAGGCCAAATGTCAGAGCTGAGCAGATTCGCTTTAAAAATGAAAAGAAAAGAAATTGCCAGCTCCGAGATTGTCCTTGCCCGCTTCAATACACCTGGGAAGGTGCACTTTTAATAGGCTTAGGAGCCACCCCTAAGCTGGCTTAAATGCAAAGTGCGTTAATTTAATGACAGCCACAATAACAACGCCAGCAGAAGGAGGCATCCAAGCAGCAACTGCCACAGCCAGAGACTGCACGCACTCTCAGGCTTACAGTCAGTGCCAACAGTTTACTGACCTGCCTCAAAATGGCAAAAGACGCCTTGCATGCATCAATTTAAAGTCTCTTAACAACAGCTTTAACCCTTTTCACATTCCACAGTTGGAAAAAACAATCATTTAAAAATCTAGTCAATTTTAAGGAAAGACTAAAAAGTATTGTAGCTAGAATATCAAATAAAATTATTTAATTGTAAATGTAATAAAGCTACATTTTAATTATTAAAAAATACTTGCCAAAAACACAACGCGCCGCACTGAGCACGAAGTTCAGGGATCGAACACGCGTAGACTAAAATGTATATAATTAAATAGATAAAATATCAATATTTATTGTCTATATAAACTGAAATCTTTATATGCCCAAGTTTGGTTTGACGTCAGAGCACGGTATTAATTTGAGCATATATATGTTGGGCACACATTTTTCTAGCCCACTGTAAATGTTCATTAGGATGTTTTCAGGTAACTTTACCCTCATCGAATGGCAGCAAAAAAGAAACACAATTAGTTCAAGGCATTTGCCACCTTTGCCCTTATCGGTTTATTGGGCATTAATGAGATTTCTACGGAAAGCTCCAATCTGAGTATAAATTCCAAAAGGCAAACAGCCAAATTGAATAGAAATTACAGGCATTGTGTCCACGCCGAGTAGTTGTGGCTTTTTGCCACTTTGCCACTAGGAAGTTATTTTTATTTCCATATGCAAAATATTTGGCCCAAAAGTCATTTTAATATTTTGCAAACCCTTGCGAGCCCAAAGAGTTTCGGGCCGTGCACTTGAAGTTCCATTTGTTATTCCAGTGAAGCATAAAGCCATTAAAAATCAATTGGGGCCTCCAAAAAATGCAAAGTGCCCCACTTCCCCCATCCCCATCCTCCATCCAGCATACGGTGTAACTTTTTCCATAGGGCGAGATGAAAGGCAAACAAACATTTTCAATGCCCCGCCCACGACAAATAAACAAAAGTATTTTGTCTTCGGCTTGGCATTCCGCTAAATTGACTCTCAACTTTACGCAAATGGCCCAAAATCTAAATTCCCTTTCTGTCGCAGCTGCCCGTATAACCCACATAGCCCTAAATCTCGATTTTACACATCTAAAGATAACTATATATGCACATATGTGCATACCCTTTCAAAGGGCTTAGTTCGATTTAATCCCAATTCCGTTGTGACTCTCAAAAGTAGAGCATAAACTGGCTTGGTCTTTAACATTTCTATTTACATACAAAAAATGTAGGTATTTAAGATTAAAGATTTGAATATTTGTAAGCATATGCAAAACTAACACATTTTATGGAGGGCATTCGTCAAAGTTTGATTAATGTTGTTCCCATAAAAACAGTCAAGTTAAAAAGAAAATAATCTTAATTTATATTGATAAATATATAATAAAGAGAACAATCGAAAAATCAGTTCCCTAAGAATGTATAGTATATATAAAAAAGTATAGCATACTTTTTGGATTCGAAGCGAAGCTCATTAGCTTTTCAAATAAGGTCACATTATGTTAAGCTCATATGTGTGAAATTAATTTGAAGCGAATGCCATCAAAAAAATGTTCAGTATAAAAAAGAAAGTAGCTAAGAATAGGGAAAAATGCTAAAAGAAATGAGAATTGATATCTAATAAGGAAACTCTAAGGCTAGTCAAAAAACTGATTTCCATTAATTAACTTTCAAGGTAATCAAAAAAAACTCGAAAACATATTCGATGTAAAAATATAAATTGGTTCTTATATTGTTATTAGAATGAAAATAGGTCTGTATATTAGTGTCTAGAAATGTATAATCCTATCAATCATAGTAAAAATTTATTCTTTTTATTCAGACTCGACTGCCAGACATTGATTGTTCAGAAAATGTATAAATTTTTAGGAACAGTAATATCATTATTAATTTGTTCCCTTCCCTCCTGTCATTGTAATTATACCAACTGCTTGGTTTATTTTTATTTTGTGCAGATGAGTATTTAAGTTTCGACTTCAGAGTATTCAGCAAATCCTTTTTTTTATGTGCAAGTGTGTGTTTTTGTGTATTTGTGTGTATTTGTGTGTGCTGTGTCCTTGCCAACTATTTTCGCTGACTCGACACAAGCCACGAATCTCCAGCTCCAACTCGCCATTGCCCTTGCTGCTGTGGCAAATCTCTGGCGAGGCTGTCAATGTCCCTGCTTCCGTTTCCATATATCCTTAATGCCATTGAGAGCTGCCGACTCACAAGCTCCGCTTGCAGCGCGCTCAATATCCGTGGCGCCTGCAACGAGCAAAATATCCCCAACCGACCCCCCCCCTCCCCCCTACTACACACACACTCATAGTTTTTATTCACATTTGGGCCGCTGCCCAGTTACCCGGCGATACGCGGAGACACTTAAGCGTAAAGTGCCGCCTGCAATGGGATTGTGAGTGTCCGGGTGGAGGATTGTACGCGTACAGTGAATTATTTGTTTTTATTTTACGATTATGGCAGCGTCTTCGGGCCATAATAGGTCATTGTGGCTTTCACATTTCAATGTGTATGCAAATATTCGATTGCCATTCGCCTTTTTATGTGCGGACAGCTGATGTTGATGGCGTTGTAAGACACTTCCAAGTGCTGTCCAAATAGCCGCTGGCCATGTTTGCTGCTGGGCTTATAAGCAAATCCATTCCACTTGGCTGACTTGGTTGATATGCCTGATTGTCAGTTGGCATTTGTTGGCTTATCATTACGAGCGATAATCAAAAACCAAATTTGACTCAAGTGCCAGCCAAACATCAATCTAATATTTATCTGAATTGGCGTTTGAGCAATGAAAATGCGCAACTTGTATCGAAAATTTACTAGCCAACACTTCAGCGCATGTCTGTAAAGGTCTCTGTTAAACTTTTACTGTAAAGCATATTCTAAATGGCAATGCTTTAAAGTGATGCGGGTTAAAGCCGGAAACATTTATTTGATTTTGTACACATGTTTGATCCCTAACATGAATGTTAGTGAAATCCCAATAGCGTGACGTTAACAGTGCGACATTACCAGATGTTGATTAACATTCATTACGTTATATTACAGCAAAATCAACTGCTCAACACTATTAAAAAAAGAATGCTAGTTTCACACGAAACTCAACTTTGTTGTCAAATTTTTTTGGCTTAAGCCAAACAAACAAAATAATTGCAAAAAGTTGTTGTAATCAAAGGGAAAACTGCTGCCTAATATGACAAATTCCGCGTTCTACGCTCGAATTTCTGTCAAACAGCAACTAAAACTTTGCTGAAACCACTTGCTGGCAACACACTGAGACTCCCCCCTCCAATCCAGCTTAACCCAGCCCAGCCCAGCCCAGCCCACGCAGCATTAACTAACCAACCAACCAACCAGTTAAGCTCAACTTCTGAAGCCCAAATTATTTTTTCATACAAATAAAAGTTTGCTGGCGCGCTGTTAAAACTAAAAAAAAAAAAAAGGAAAAGCGAAAAACACTTTGACAAACAGGCGAACCAACTTCCCGACAAACAAACTAAATAAAACAGGAGGGAAGGTAAAAGTCGTGAGTGCTTAACTTACAGATAGCCTGTAGCCAGCTCTGAGGTACTCACTCTATTGTCGTCACAGCTGT